GAAAAATGGGCCTCACAAAGTAGCATAAACAAGGACACACACACACAGTATATACTGTATCTTCTTTTTTTATACTTTATTTATAATTTTCAGAGTTAAACAACTAAGAAAAACACAAGCACATAAAAAATAATAATTAAAACAAAATAAAATAAATAATAAAATAAAAATAAAAAAATAATAAAAAAAACATAACCAAACAGTCACAGAACAGTGTCAGCCTACTGGTGAAAAAGGATAAAATGTACACATCAACCTAATGTGTGTAATCAAGCACAGGACAGAGTCCAATGAAACAACCTACAGTTCATTAAACAATCTGATTAAAAAAATAGATCATATATAAAAAATATAAAAAACAGAGCATCAGTAAAACATGAAAGAAAAAGAAATTATGATAATACAAAAACAAATCAAAAACAGATCCCAATGATCAGCATAATCATTTTAAACCAGACATTTGTATATATGTATTGAACAGACCCCACACCTCAAGGAACTTATAATGGTTGTCTGACAAAGAGTATCAAATCTCTTCAAGATAAATACAAGACACCATATCATTAAGCCATTTTTTAAAACAAGGAGGGGTAGAGGATTTCCATTCCCTCAAAATAACCCGTTTTGCAACCACCAAACCAAACATAAGAGCCTGCTGGAGAGACATGGTTAGGACTTTTCTAGAGATGATGCAGTGCGGGTGGTAGTTCCCAGTCAGGCTCATAGAAGGATGACAGGATCCGATAGCCGGCAGATGACTACTTGAGGTTAACTGTCCAAAAGGAAAATGGGAGGAGTATGGTGAAGGACTTGAAGCAGGTCAGAATCAGTCAGCTGACTGAGTCAGGAGCACTCCTTTCAGTGGGTTTACCAACATCTTTGACCCATTTGTTTCTCCAGTGTCAGGAGTCTTCAAGTATTTTTAGTCTGTCCTTCTAAATGTGAGGTTTAAGTGTCCACAGGTCAAAACTGGTTTGTGTCAGATGCATCAAATTGTCAAAGCAAAATGTGTACTTTCTTCTAAAAGACATCAAAACACTTATTTATCACCACTAGATTGAACTACAGCAATTCTCTATATTTATTTCCTTTGATAATTGTCTCCATCACCTGCAGTTGTGCTGCTGTGTGTCTTTGAACAGATAAAAGGCATCACTCTAGTTTAAAACCATTTAGACTGTTATGACTGCTGTCATTTTTGTATTGATTTAAAAAATATTCTCACATTGAAAGCTTTAAATTGTTTGCCTCCCTATTATTTAATTCAGATTTTCATCTGTTACAATCCCACCATAACACTGAGCTCTTCCAGCCATGTGCTCATCGTGCAGCCGAGAGCTAAATTAAAGCACAGCAGAGATCAGGTTTTTACCGAGGCAGCCCCCAGACTCTGGAACAAACGGTCCCTTGATAACCCTACAGCAAAGTCTAGTTTTTTACATACAGTCTGAAAATTCACTTTATTTACACTGGCTTTTAATTTGAGTTTAGTTTGTGTTTCAAATGTCAACATTAATTATTTGTTTTCTTTACCATTCATGTCTAGTTGGACTGTGGTAATAACTGTAAAGAATGAAATATATGACTTTAATCTTCTGTTGCTTCAACTTTCCTCTTGCTTCTATTACATTTTTCATCACGGTCCATTGTCATATTCAGCCACCTTCTTTTATCATATGTCAGTTCTACATTGTATGATTCTACACTAACACTTCTTTTTTTTTGCTCATTTAACTTTTGAAGCTGTGTTGCATTATCAAAACATCTCATTAATCTCAAGACAAAGTTGGAACTGAGTCATTCACAACACATACTGATGAGCTTGTCATTTTGCAGCTTGAAATTTGGCATGATTCAGGGTTTGACAGAAATGGCTACACTTCTGTAATTTCTCAGAATACAGTGTTCTTAGTGTAAAAGTCTGATGGGTGATATGCATTCCTTCAATGAATTATAGGACTTCTTTTGTAGGACATTTATACTCTGTTGTCTGAAAGTTCCTCTTGGAGTGCTTATGTTGTGACGTGTCTGCAGTGCACACCTCTCTAAACCCACTGAACTGGCTCTACTCTCACTCCTGGTTGTTTCTGCTCCACTCCCACCTATAAACTGCAACCAAAGGTGCTTCCAGTTAATTTCCAGGAATTATTACAGAGCAAAATAAAACCTACATAACTCCAAACCAAGAATCTGCACAAAGTACAACTCTGTGTCTTTGCTGTGTTACAACGGGAGCTGGATGCGGGTCACGGGTCACTGCATCTAGCTGTTGCAACTAGCAAAATCAACTACATTCCTTGACAGATATTGAATCCCTGGGAGACTCTTTTTAGAGTTGCTGGCCCCGTTTAAACCAGTCAGAACCGGGTTATAATTTCATTATAATCCCATCTCTGAGCAGATCAAAAACCCAGGGTCAGTCTAGATAAAATGCTGACAGCTGTAATGTACCAACACATGAGTTGAATTGTTTAAATTATACAGCTAACTTTGTGAGTTTCTACTTCTTGAATTAAAATGTACCAAAGGTCCAGTTCCAGACTGAATCTTTACAAGAACACACAGTATTCACTGAGAGATGAGGCTCTGGAGTCTTATTTCGTTTTTGTGAATGATAAAATGGACAAATACAGACCTAATTTCTTTGGATGTGTTACTGAAGTGTTTTTTACTGTCACCTGCCTCTTAGTAAGTTAGTGAGTATGTAAACAATGCATTATATTTGCATTATAGTTATGAACTTTTATTAGAACCTGAAGTTTTTTACATTGTGGACAAATGTAGCTAAATTATATAATTGTAAATGGACTGTACTTATATAGCGCCTTTCTATCTTATTTCAAGATACTCAAAGCACTGTACACTACAATCTCATTTACCCATTCATACAGCACTCTACGAGATCTCTACAAAGCTAATTGAACAAATCATTCTAAAGAGACTAATCAGTGCTTTAGATCACATTCATACACTGACGGGACACATATCAGAGGCTATGAGGGGTTCATTGTCTTGCCCAGGGACACTTTGACATGTGACTGCTGGTGGATTCGAACCCCCAACTCTTGCATTGGAGGACGACTGCTCTAACCACTCAACCACAGCCGCCCAATAATAATAATCTCATAAGCTTCAGTAAAATATGCATGATGAACTGATTTCTGTGCTGTAGTGAAATACTGATGAATTTCTTTCTACTCTTTTTCTCAGGCTGGTGTTACTTTTCTGAAACGACCATTGTCGCTCAGGCTCTGAGTTGGAAGTGGACACATCAAGCCAGGAGTCCTCCCTGACAGTAGGGGGCAGCAGCAGGCATGCAGGACTCCACCTCTGACAGCAAGATGGCTAAACAGGTCAGCACTGATCTACTTTCACAATTGGTTGACTGCTGAAGTGTAAAACACAGTGCTTTCACATAGACAACAAATAAATTTTAAAGTCATTATTTGTCCAATTTAAAATGGCTGCCACAGCTACCAGAAAACTTAGTAAACAAAAATGGCTATAATTGAGAGAAGATGCTTTATTGTCATTGTACAGCAGATTTAAAGAAACTCAGTTCAGCAGCAATCTCTTAGCAGCAACATAGTGCAATTTTCATGAGCATTAAAATAAATCCATCCATCCATCCATCCATTATCTTTACCCGCTTATTCCATTTTGGGTCATGGGGGTTGCCGGTGCCCATGTCCAGCAATCACTGTGCAAGGTGCAGGGTACACCCGGGACAGGTCTCCAGTCTATCACAGGGACACATAGAGACAAACGAGACAAACAACCATTCACTCTCTCACTCACACCTAGAGACAATTTAGAGTTACCTATCAGCCTAACATGCATGTTTTTTGTCCTTGGGAGAAAACAGTAGTACCTGGAGAAAACCCACGCATGCACGATGAGAACATGAAAACTCCACCCAGAAAGGCCCCCGGACCGGGATTTGAACCAGGGACCTGCTCGCTGACAGACAGCAGCTCTATCAGTTGCTCCACCGTGCTGCCCAAGCATAAAATAAATATAAAACAAAATACACAGTCTCTTTAGCAGCAACAGTTGTGCAAAATGAGACACGGACATACGATAAAAAAGAGGTACAGAGTTTGTAGGCTCTAGTTTTATAGCCAGTTTCACAGACACTGAGTTCAAATTTGGTGTGGTTATAGCTGAGTGTCATCACCATAACAAACTCTGAGCACCAGCACATCTCTAGAGAACTTGCAAAGTTACATAAAAGTGTTAAAAATGTGATTGAAGAGGTTTGAATAAAAACATATATACTTCTGACATTTCTATACAGACTAATGTTTTTAAAACAAATAAAGATAATGTGGTGCTTTGTATACAATCTTTTTATTATATAGCTAATATAACTAATTGATCTTAGCTCCATGTGAATGACTGTAACTCAGTCTTTTTCACAGATTTTGAGCTAAATGTTAGAGTGGTAGTATTGATAATCATTCCTAAAACATTTTTAAGTGTTAACAGATCACTTGAGATCGGCTCTGAGCCCCTTCTTGTTTGCTCTGGTGATGGACCGATTAACAGATGAGGTCAGGCAGGAATCCCCGTGAACTATGATGTTTGCAGATGACATTGTGAGCTGTGGTGAGAACAGGGAACAGTTGGAAGAGAACTTGGAGAGGTCGAGGTATGCACTTGAAAGAAAAGGAATGAAAGTCATCCCTAGTAAGACAGAGTCCATGTGTGTGAATGAGAGGGAGGACGTGGAGCAGTGAGGCTACAAGGAGCAGAAGTCACAAAGGTGCAGGACTTCAAATACTTGGGGTCCACTGTCCAGGAAAATGGGGAGTGTGGTAAAGAGGTGAAGAAGAAAGTCCAGGCAGGATGGAGTGGATGGAGAAAAGTTTCACGAGTGATTTGTGACAAAAGGATGTCAGAAAAGTTCAAAGGAAAAGTTTACAAGACAGTAGTGAGACCAGCTATGTTGTATGGTCTGGAGACAGAGACATGGACAAAAAGACAGGAAAAAGAACTGGAAGTGGCAGAAATTAAGATGTTGAGGTTCTCCTTAGGAGTGACAAGGATGGATAAGATTAGGAATGAGATCATCAGAGGTACAGCACAGGTTGAACAACAGGAAGATAAAGTTAGAGAGGACAGACTGAGATGGTTAGGACATGTCCAGAGGAGGGACAGATGTTTGAACATGTACAGAGGAGGGACAGATGTTTGGACATGTCCAGAGGAGAGTCAGTGGGTATATTGGTAGAAGGATGTTAGAAATGCAGCTGCCAGGAAAAGGACAAAGTGGAGATATATGGATGCAGTTAGAGAGAACATGGAGGTAGTTGGAGTGAGGACAGAGGATGTAGAGGACAGAAATGGAGAAGTATGACTCGCTGCGTTGTTTTGCACTTTACACGACCACATTTCATTTACAGTATTCCTAACAAGTTATTCTGTTGTTTTCTAATTTAAAGGAACAAAACTCCAAGCATTTGGATGAACACAGAGAAACAGAGGACATGTCTGAGAAGACCTCCCCCAACAAGACCCTCAAATCTCCTCAGAAAAGCTCCAAAAGGCTTAAAACCAACCCCTTTAAAGTGGCGCTGCTGGATTCCACAGAGTATGAGGGAGAAATTGAGGTATGCACATAAAAATAATTAGCATGAACACATTTTTAATAATTATTTGCATGTTTCCAATGAACTATTTTGCTTTGTTGGTGTTTTGTGGCATAGGCAGTGTTGTGTAAAGTGTTGTAGCTGCATAGCTGCAAGCCTCGGAGAAAACAAAAACAGAGATTTTGAAGGGAGCGTACTGTAGTGAACTAGGCCTCTGACCAAAACCTGTCTCTGAAGACCTTCATGGGACAGGAACTGTTATTTCATTGATTTGAATCCAGAAATACAAATTAGCTCATCCAGAGACTGTCTAATTGTATCCTGAATTAATCAATTGAAAGAACACTCTTCTTTTTATATTATCATTACTATTTTACAATATCTTGATAATCAAAAAGTGTGTTTAGTTCATATCATTTCTAATGTTGAAATGAACCACTCATTTTAAATCAACTGTGAAACAGTATTAATGATTTTTTAAACCTCATTTAAATTAGAAATCAAGTTAAATGTCTATTTACAAAGTAATTATGCATTTTGATTTTCTGTCTTGTAGGGTTATAATGGGCTAGGTTTTAGCTACCCTTGACTACAATATATTTTAAATAACGGGTTCTCTCTTTTTCGAGCTAAATTACAGCCATGTGACTGAGGTAACTGTGCATAGATTGTTTAATCAGTGACATGAGACGTTAATTTTCATTGACCCATCAGAATAAATGTGGTCATTTATTGAACAGAATCAAAATTTAACATCAAAACATTGTACAAGTGATTAGCTGATCTGGTTCTGATTAATAAAACTTGTCACGTTTTACTTAATAAAAACAACAGACATTTCTGAAGACATCTAGATTAATTACTGGCAAAATAGAAGAGTTTAAAAATGGGAAATGGAAGAGTTTAAATGGAGAGAAAAAGATGGATAAACAGGAATGTGTGTTGACTAGGAACGGCACCCTTCATCCAACACCAGCCCAACTCTCCGGTACATTTGGCGCGTTAAGACTCGTTACCTTAGACGGGATACCTCCGCTCAGGAACAGGAGTCCATTTCAATGCGACCTTTCAGCGTCTCCGGTAAGGATGGCTGAGAATCGTCCGAAGTAGTGACGGTATTCCGTTCAACAAACACGCTCATCTCCCGGGGGAATTCACTGCAAGCTGTGAGTCTGTAAGAGGTTCCACTCAGGTGTGGAAGGATCCTTCACAGGCTCTGAAGACTAAGTTCAAGACTAGACTTCATCAGAGACCCAGTTGACCTCGTAGACCTGACTGATATGAGAAGTTCCAGGAAGTGTGGACTCTTAAAAAGTTCTCACTTCCGGTCACCTCAGGACTTCCTGATTGGTTGAAACAACCAACAGGGTGTGGTTCTAGTGATGTCAGAGGGTCATTACAAGTCAAGAAAACAGCAGGAATGTTTTAGAAACTTCCCGTACAGACAGAAGACATGTTATGGTGAAGTGGGAGGAAGAGAGGCCAGTAGCTTCTTGTTTACCATCTGCTAGGTTTAAAAACACGACACTTCGTTCTAATAACGATCGTCTGACTTTCGACCAACATCACTACTTGAAATGTTGTTGACCAACCATGGATGACGAAAGGGTTGAGAAATGCTTGTAAAAAAAAGAATTATTTGTATACATGTTTCTTGAAATTGAGAACACAAGAGGCTGAAGAGAAATATAAGAAGTATAAAAATAAATTAGTAGGGATTATAAGGATACACAAGAAGGAATATTATAGTGATTTATTAAATAAAAGTAATGGTGATATGAAAGCTACATGGCGTGTAATAAATAGTGTTCTGAAAAGTCATAAAGCAAAAACAGGTATTTCACAATATTTTTTGAAGGATGACAATGAAATCCATGATGAAAATGAAATTGTAAATGGATTTAATCATCATTTTGTGAACGTTGGATCAAGCCTTGCTGCTAAAATACCAAAAGTGGACAATAATGTGAACCATTCAGTTATAGGTTGTGACAACAGTATTTTTCTTAATGGAACTGACAAAGAAGAAATAATGAATGTTGTAAAAAATCTTACAGATAAGAGATCAAAAGACTGGGTGGACATGGATATGATGTTTGTAAAGGACATAATGAGTTATGTTATCGAGCCGTTTACATATATTTGTAATTTATCATTTTCAAAAGGAATATTTCCAGACAATATGAAAGTAGCTAAGGTAGTTCCTCTCTTTAAAAATGGTGATAAATGTGTGTTCAATAATTATAGACCAATATCCTTATTACCACAGTTCTCAAAAATTCTAGAAAAAACTGTTTGTGACCAGATTAGATATATTTATTACTAAACAAAACATTCTAAGTAGCAGTCAGTATGGGTTTAGAGCAAAAAACTCTACATCAATGGCTCTCATGGAAATAATAGAACAAATAACTACTGCTGTCGATCAAAAACAGTATTGTGTTAGTATTTTTGTTGATTTAAAAAAAGCATTCGATACTATTGACCATACTATTCTCCTTGAAAAATTAAATAAATATGGTATAAGAGGACCAGCATTACAATGGGCATCTAGCTATTTAAAAGATAGGAAACAGTTTGTACAAATAAATGGTGTAAGATCTGACCTGTGCAATATCACTTGTGGAGTTCCTCAAGGCTCTGTACTTGGACCAAAGTTATTTATTTTATATGTGAATGACTTAGTGAATGTATCAGGACTCCTCAAATGTGTCCTTTTTGCAGATGACACCACATTTTTTTGTTTGGGTAAAGATGTAAAACGGATGTTGGAATTGATGAAGACAGAATTTGATAAAATACAAACTTGGTTTAAACTTAATCAATTATCATTAAATTTAGATAAAACTAAATACACGATATTTAGTAACAAAAAGAGAACTGTTGATGATCCATTTAGAATTGAGGGTGTTGAGATTTGTAGAGTTAATGAGATGAAATGTTTGGGTGTAATCATTGATGAACAGCTAATATGGAAAAATCACATAAATTCTGTAAGAACAAAAATAGCTAAATCTATTGCAATACTATACAAAGTCAGGGAATTATTAAATGATAAAGCTCTGTACATGTTGTATAACACAATCATTGTTCCACATTTAATCTATTGCATTGATGTTTGGGGGAAAGCATGTAAAACTTTTACAAAACCTATTTTTATTTTACAGAAAAGAGCTGTAAGAATTATCACCAGAAAGCATTACTGTCACCCATCAAGCACATTATTTTATCAACTGAAGTTATTGAAGTTCCATGATTTGGTAGATTATAGTATTTTATCAGTTATGTATAGGGCTCAAAATCACACATTACCATTAAATATCCAAAGAAATTTTGTTAAAAGACAAAGTTGTTATAATCTTAAGGGGATAGAAATATTTGTCAAACCAAAATTCAGAACTAGTCTGAAGGGAAGGTCTACCTCAATCCAAGCAGTTGGATTGTGGAATGGTCTAGAGAGTGATGTGAAAAATGCCAAGTCAATGTGTACATTTAAGAAAAAGATCAAAACTGAATTGTTAAAAAAGTATATATGAAGTAGCTTAGTGTGTGTTTTGTATTAGAATTAGAAAAATTAGAAAGCTATTCATTTTGTACTGTTACTTGAAGATTATTATGTCTGAAATAATTGTTTGAAAAAAAGGGGCAGATATAATAAGATTTTTTCTTCTTTCTGCTGCCTTTCATTTTAAATCTTTTGTATCTTTTTTATATTGTTATGGAATTGTTTTGTACTTTTTTAAAATGAATAAACTATATACCATACCATACCATACTACTTCTCGTTTAGACAGAAGATCAAAAAAGCACAATTACTTTGTAAAATAGACATTTAACTTGATTTCTAATTTAAATGAGGATTAAAAAAACCATTAATACTGTTTCACAGTTGATTTAAAATGAGTGGTTCACTTCAACATTTAGAAATGGTATGAACTAAACACACTTTTGATTTATCAAGATATTGTAAAATAGTAATGATAATATAGAAGAAGAGTGTTCTTTCAATTGATTACTTCAGGATACAATTAGACAGTCTCTGGATGAGCTAATTTGTATTTCTGGATTCAAATCAATGAAATAACAGTTCCTGTCCCATGAAGGTCCTCAGAGGCAGGTTTTGGTCGGAGGCCGAGTTCACTACAGTCTAAATGAGAAGTCAGTGATGTCGGTCAAAAGTCAGAGACAGTCAGAAAGCATGTTAGTAGAACGGACTGTATTGTTTTTAAACCTAGCAGATGGTAAAAAGAGAAACACTGGCATCTGCGTTGTCTCACTTCGCCATAACATTTCTCTGTCTGTACTAAATGTTCCTAAACATTCTTGCACTCTCTCTTGACTTTTAATAACCCTCTGACATCACTAGAACCACCCCCTGTTGGTTGTTTCAGCCAATCAGGAAGTACTAAGTGACCGGAAGTGAGGACTCTTTTAAAAGTCAGCACTTCCTGGAACTAGTCAGTCTTCTCTGTCTTCTCAAGTTCTTCTGAGTTCTTCTGAGTCTTCTTGACTCTTCAGTCTTTGATGGAGTCTTCTCAAGCCTTCTGGAGTCTTCCACTCCTGAGTGGGATCTCTGATGGAGTCACAGCGACTTGCTGTGAATCCACCCGGGCGTAACGCCTACAACTTCGAAGGGAGCTGAGCCTGTTTGTTGAACTGAGTAAATAGACACGACTTCTAACAATGACCAGCCGCTCTAACCGGAGACGCTGGAAGGTAGCATTGAAATAGACCCGGTACCAGAGATGATTCATCTTCTGCGAAGGTAACGAGTCATCACGCGCTAAGTGTACCGGAGGTTTGAGCTGGTGTTGGAAGAAGCGTGCAAATTCTGGTCAACAACATACACCTTTCTCCATCCATCTCTTCTTTAAACCTCTGAACTCCTTCCTTTAAACTCTTCTATTTTGCCAGTAATCTAGATGCCTTCAGAAATGTCCTGTTGTCTTATTAGTAAAGCGTGCCATGTTTTATTAATCAGAACCAGATCAGCTAATCAAGTGTACAATGTTTTGATGTTA